GCTGAGCATAGAGCCTGCTTAGGATTCTCTGTCTTCCTCTCTGTCCCTCCCCTGCTCGCACTCACTCTTTCTCAAATTAAAAATAATAAATAAATAAATAAATAAATAAATCAGAGCACTTAAGTAAAAATCATTAATTCACAAAAAATTAAATAATAGTACAGTTGTATATGGTGAACATAGTTCTTGAATGAAAGGCTTTGGGGAGCACTGCATCTGGGACTCAAATTTGGCCTTTCGGGGTCCACTGAAGTTTGTGGAGGAGCTCCCAGCAAGTGCAGCCAAGCTCCCTGGAAACCCAGGACTATAGGGCGGGGCCTGTTGTACCCCTGAGCCGGGAGCCCCTCAACCCAGGCTGGGAAGACACAGCAGGTGGCCCCTCCTCCCCCAGCACCGCCTCTGTGGCGTGGGGACAGGGTGACCCTCCCGGGATGATCACGCCCCTGAGCTGACCCAGTGCAACGCTGGGCGGGAAACGCTGTCACAGACTCTGCTATGACCAGAAGACGTGGTGGGGGTCATTCAGTGCACCCCCTCATGGCAGAGATGGCGTGGTTTTCAGGGGTGGGGCTCCGTGGCTCCAGAGCTGGGTTTCGGGACCCGGTCAAGCTGCCTTCCACAGCCCCTGCTTGACTTTGGGTGGAGTGATGGGGCCGAGGGTGGGGTGCAGACCTGGCCTGGGGGCTCCACCTCGCCCTCCGGCTCTCCAAGCTCAGGCCACACAGGCCTCCACCCGTCCCTCCAACTCGGCCAACGTGCTCCTGCTTCGGGGCCCAAGTGGCTGCTCTCCCTTCCCCTTCCTGGAAGGTTCTTCCTACCCATCTCCCACCACTGCCTGGGTGAACGGCCCCCACCATCGCCTTGTTAGGGACGGCTTCTCTGCCCACCACCTGCCAGGGTCACCAGTCACTCGCCAACACGCACCTTGGCTTCCTTTCCTCACAGCATTTCTCATGGCCTGAAATTAGGTTCTGTGCAGTATCTGTCACCCCACTAGAATGTGAGTTCTCTGAGGGAAGGGCCAGGGAAGCTACAAGATTTGGGGGCCCCACGAGAAAATAAAAATCCGGCCCTTGTGACTAAGAACTGATTGATGAAGAATTTCAAGACCACGGGCACCTGGGTGGCTCAGGGGGTTAAGTGTCCGACTCTTGATTTTAGTTTAGGTCATGACCTCAGGGTCATGGAATCGAGCCCCACATGGGGCTCTGCGCCCCGCGTGGAGCCTGCCTAAGATTCTCTCTCTCCCTCTACTGCCCGTGCTCTCTGCTGACTGACTGACTAACTGACTGAGCTATGAGAGTCCAGAGCTGATGGCTTTAGCGGCTACTTCATCTGCAAAACAGAAAGGAAATACTCCTAACCATTGATCACTGAGATCAGCTTATCTGTTAAGATTTAAAGGCAGGGCTGGACCAGGAGGGCCCTGGAGGCTGGGCGTGGGTGGGACGTTTATTCTGAGAGCAATCCTCTGAGAGGCTGTGCGGCTTTACAGCAGGGCTGGGACAAGGGGAGGCCACATTGTAAAATATCGCCCAGGCGGGAACTGGAGCTAGCCGTCCTCTGTGGTGGCCCCGACGACCAGATGGAAAGAAGTGGGGTTTGATGGTGTAAACCCACGTCGGGTAGACCCCTGGGTCCTGCCGTACCCGCCACGGATGCGCTGGGGGAGATCCGAAGGCCGTTGTTTAGCTGGGGAAGGGCCCGGTGGTGCAGGTCCCGGACTCTGTCCCGGCTTCGCTGCACACACACACATTCCCTTCCATGTCCCAGCCCTTCCACGGATCCCAAGGGACGGAAGAGATGGTTGATGCTGAGCACACTACACACCCCATAAAAGTTAAGTGTATTTATACGTATCAGGCAGGCCTGGAAAGCCCGCAGCGGAGTCGGGACAGGAAGCAAAGCAGCCCTTGGAAGAAACCCCTGAGAAGCAGTGACATGTGGCCAGGGACTCCAACTGGAGGAAAGGTGTCCCCTCGGTGGAGCCCAGAAAGTCCCAGTTTCAGCTGAATTACCTCCAATGTGCAGTGACTCCAAGGCATGAGGGGGAGGGAGATTTCAGATGAGCTGACGTTCTGGGGTAAGACAGCAGTATTTTCAGGTGCGCGAGGATGATTCATAATCCCTAGGGCACCTTCCCCAGCAAAGAGCCACTTCTTTTGGAGATCACCAAACACAAGGTGAGAAAAAACAATAATTACAGGAAGTCCCTCTCCCTCCCTTGAGTGATTGATATGCCCAGCCCAGTCCCAAGGCATTGACGTTATCTGTGAGGTTGGTGTAATATCTCAGGTGCAGGAAGGCTACATTTGCCCAAGGTCATGAGCCAGAAGGCCTCAGAGCCAGGGTTCAAACTCAGGCATCTGGCCCCAGGCTCCTGCTTTCACCACCATGCAGAGGCGTCCCTGCCTGGTGTTCGGATGGCCCTGGCAGTAGGGGTTTGCCCTGCTGGCCAAAGTGCTTGGAGGCCTTTGCAGATGCCTCCCTCCTAAGGACTGATGCCCAGAATCAGCTTAGTGGTAGGACTTGATGGGAACGATCACATTTGATTCTCACGCCTACCCCTTGTCCCCATTTTACAGATGAGGAAATAGAGGCCCTGAATGCTTGTGCACATTGTCCAAGGCCCTCAGCCACTAGGCAGCCAAATAAGCCTGGACTTTAGGGCTGACCAAAGCCTTCTCTGTTTTTTTTTTTTGAGAATTCCAGAAATGCAACCAATTTCTGTACATTGGTTTTACATCCTGCGACTATGCTGAATTCATGTATTAGCTCTAGCAGGTTTTTTTTTGGTGGAGTCTTTCGGGTTTTCCACGTAGAGTATCATGTCATCTGCAAAGAGTGAAAGTTTGACTCCTTCCTTGCCAGTTTGGATGCCTTTCATTTCTTTTTATTGTCTTATTGCTGAGGCTAGGACTCCCAGTACTATGTTGAACAACAGTGGTGAGAGTGGACGTCCGTGTCGTGTTCCTGATCTTAGGGGGAAACCTCTCAGGTTTTCCCCACTGAGGATGATACTCCAGCGCATAGGCCTTTATTTCTGTGTTCTTCAAAGCCACGCTATCCTTGTTCTTTTGATAGGCGTGGTGACTCAGAGAGGTTAAGCACTCTGCCTGAGGTCACACAGCTGGTAAGTGGGGAGATGGGACTCGAACACAGGTTGGTCCAAGTCTAATATACACTCTTTCTACTCTTCAAGCTGTTTAGGCTGACTGTGATTTAAAATTGTGGAGCATCTTCCTTTTTAAAATGGATTTTTCTAGTGGGAGGTGTATAGGGATGGCCTTGATAGGCAGACCAAGAGCTTGGACTGGGGAGGCAGAGGGACCAGGGTTCTAATACAAGATCTGCCTCTCACTGGCAGTGTAACCTCTGTGGGTCATTCTCTCTGAGCGTCAGGATGACAAAAAGAACACCACCTCCAGGCTGGTTGCCAGGATGAGGTGAAGGAGCCTACTAGAAACACACAGACTCCCAATGGCAGGGCTTTGTGTACGTGTGCTCCCATTATCCAAATTAGTGCTTGACAAATGCCTCCGGAAGAAGGAGAAGGAAGAAGAGAGGGAGGAAGGAGGAACCCACGAAAATGGTGGCTACCAATATAATCTCATCCATCTTCCGAATATCCTCCTGAAGAACAAAGGGGGGCAGAAGAAATTCTACCCATGTCGTAGGTGGGGAACAGAGTACCTGCTTGGGTAAGAGGAGGCCAGAGCGAACCCAGTGCCACTCGGATTTCTTTGCCTCTTTGTTCCTAACCATGATCTTCTCCATTTTTTTTTTTCTTTCCCCTACTGCAAAATGTCAGAACTTCAACATGACAAAGTGCAGGACAAAAACAAGGAGGAGTGGCTTGGGCTCCCTCGCGGCCCCTCCTCATCCTTCTGGGCTGGGCTCCCAGGCCTGTCTGCCCAGGAGCAGAGCGCCCACCATCAACGTGTCCTTGCACGGAACAGCCTCTCCCAGGGGGGGAGGGATCCTGCACAGATCACACCTTCTCCTCCAGAGTCCTGGGCTCGGAGGACACACAGCCCTTGCACGCCCAGGAGTCAGTTCCAGCAGCCTCTGCGTTTCATCTCAGAGATTCCAGATTGAGCTGTCAACCTGGACACCTGCCCCGAAGGGGGCCCAGGACTGCACAAGGGGGTTGTCGCCGGGGGACGGGCTGCCGGTTTGATTAATTTGTAGCTAATCAATCTTTACTAAGTCTCGCCTTGATTTCTAGAGGCTGAAAATCTAGTGAGGGGGCAAGCCTTGGCTGGTACGAACCATTTGGTTTTAATACTAGTTCTTAAAATATTGACAACAAATACTGAGCTTCATCTCAAGCCCCTGGAGTGCCTTCCTCTACCCAGGCCAGCATCCCCCTCCCCGCCGCCGGGAAATCCGCACTACCCAGCAGTGAAAGGGTTAACGCCTGGCTTAGTGGGAGACCCTGCCCCAGCCCAGGAGTCATCATCCGTTCTGATTGGTCAGCCCTCCAGAGGCTCCTGATTGCTAAACATTCTGTACGTGACTCTGGAAGCCGTGCTTACTCTAAACCAGCCACAGGGCAAAATACTGCAGATGTCATCGGGGCCGAAGCAAGTCGACCACTCATCCATCCAGTGGGCAGCAAGTTTCTTTGGAAGATGTCCACCCTCACCCATGCTGGGCCAGGCCCCTTCTTGTGTCACCTGGTTCTTTCCTCCGCCTCCAACCTTAGCCTTTTCCCTGGCCTCCCCGACTTCACTACAAGCTCCCCAGCCAATGCATCTTCCACTCACGGCCAGCCAGACGGATGTGGTCACACCAGCTGGCTTCTTGCTGTGCTCAGGGTGAGACAGAAGGTTGCTTTGGGGCTGTCACTGCAGTTTGTCTGTTTTTGGTCTCCCCTGTCGGATCTCAGGCTCCACCAAGGCTCCCCAGCATTTATATCCAGTGTCAGGCAAGCACCTGGAAAGGTGGATGCTCGGCAGATGTGTGCCGAACAGCAGAACGAGAAAGGAATGGATCTGTAAGCGCCTAGAAAAGACCAGAGCTGTTTCCTGGGTGGGTTACCACCAGCAGGTAGAGACGAGACTGGCCTTCAGGACAGGGGGACAGCCACGCAAGACTGGAGGACAGCCTGGCCTCCTCTCTAAGCAGAAAGATAAAATAAAGAAGAGATTGAGAGCCTGGGGCTCTGGAGCCCCAACACCCCAAGTTCAAGTCCCGGCTCCACTATTAACTAGCTGGCGACCTTGAGAAAGATGGCACCTTTCTCTTTCGAATGGGGACAATGATGGTATCTACCTTATAGAACTGTTCTGAGGACTAAATGAGATCACAGGTGTGGGTGACAAGTGAGCCAGTGTGCTTGACTCTGGGGAAGGAAGTGACATTTGCCACGTACTTTCCGTGGGCTCTCCGAGCTGAGCTTTTTAGGCCTTTCAGCGATCCTGCGTGCAGGCTTTCCCCTGGTGTCTCTGTTTGCCAGACGAATCCCACATCCACCCCTGTGGAGCCCACCATCCCCAGCACTCGGTTCATCGTGGGTGGCCCAGCGTGCAGTGACGGTTAGCCCTACGTAGACCTTAGGGCCGCCTGGGGAGCTGGCATAGATACCCACCCTCGGGCCCACCTTGGCCGAATGAACCAGAGTTTCCGGGAGTGGACCAAACGTGAGTATGATTTTGAAACTCCCCAGATGATCCTAATGGGGCTGAGAACCACTGGCCTGCGTCTGGGTCCGAAGGCCGTGTGGTGGTCAAAAGGAGTCCCAGGAAGGCAGGGATGGCGTAGGGTGGGGCTGGGGGGCTGGGGGCTGTGAATCACTTCTCACCCTGACTGCTGACAGCAAAGCCGGACTCTACATAGAGGGAACTCAGAAACGTGCTCACACCCAGTGTGGGCACTGCCCAAAGTGTGGCTTCTAAGTGCTCAGCACTATTGCTTAATGGGGTCTATGAGTCCCAGGCCTCTCTCACTTTTATGGGGCTCTCTGCTCCAGGCAGCTGACCTGTATCAGTCAGTGAAGCCTCTCTCTCTCTCTCTCTCTCTCTCTCTCTCTCAATTTTTAAAAATAGTTAACCATTGGGGCGCCTGGGTGGCGCAGTCAGTTAAGCGTCCGACTTCAGCCAGGTCACGATCTCGCGGTCCGTGAGTTCGAGCCCCGCGTCAGGCTCTGGGCTGGTGGCTCGGAGCCTGGAGCCTGTTTCCGATTCTGTGTCTCCCTCTCTCTCTGCTCCTCCCCCATTCATGCTCTGTCTCTCTCTGTCCCAAAAATAAATAAACGTTGAAAAAAAAAATAGTTAACCATTTTTTTTAACTTTATTTATTTTTAGAGACAGAGGACTGTGAACGTGGGAAGGGCCAGAGAGAGAGGGAGAGAGAGAATTCCAAGCAGGCTTTGCTGACGCGGGGCTCGAACCCATGAACCTTGAGATCATGACCTGAGCAGAAATCAAGAGTCGGTCGCTTAACTGCCTGAGACACCTAGGTGCCCCCAATTTTTTTTAACTCTAAGCAAAACCATGCATGTAAGGCATATATTAATCTCTCAATAAGCAGTAAGTGTTATTAGGAAGCAACATCAAAAACAGTATTTTCAATGTCAGCCTTTAGAATTCTAACAGTAATACATGCTTTCTATAGAAAATTAGAAAATGCAGACAGATTTTAGAAAGAACCCCCCCCCCCCCCCCCCGTATTTTCACTAAAGATAGATACTTTTAACATTTTGGCAATTATTCTTCGAGGGTTTTTTGTTTTGTTTCTGATTTTTTGTTTATTTGTTTTTTGGGTTTTTTTTTATGGTCTTAAAAAATGTATCTATATATACACAGAAAAATCTGTTATATGCTCTGGGTCCTGCTTTTTTTCCCCCCTGCTTAATATTATGTCATAAGTGTTTTCCCAATTTATTAGATACTCTTTGAAATCTAATTTTCACTGTATGGTTAGATACACATTTATTTAGCCAGCCTCTGGTTGATCATGCAACTTTTTATCTCTGTTATAAACGGTGCTGCCGTGAGCTCTTTACCTTTTATTAAAAACTGTGCTTGAGCTCGGTCACACTTTCAATGGGCCTGTCCCAAAGGGCAGTGTCCTGGCCACAGTTCCGATCGGCCGGGCTCAGCTTTTGCCAGCACGCTTTGTGTCTACCTGCCAGAGACAAACGGATTTCAGCCTTGACTGGTGGGCCCGGGGCTGCTCCGAGGGCCAATCTGTCACTCTCTGCCTCTTGGAAGGAGGGTCTGCTCTCTGCTGAGATGTACAAACACATAATCCTTTTCGATCAATAGGGAATCTTTTTCCTGGCATTTAAACTCAGTCCATTCTGTTTCTCTGCATGTGTGATATCTTCATTTATTGCCCTTGTCTTTCTTGTTTCATAGAACTTGGTGGGGGGCGGGGACAAGGGGGCATCTCCTAAGGTCCTCAAGAATTCAGGCCCTTAGCCATCCATCTCTGTAGGGACCTGGCTCTCTGTCTTCTGCTAGGACACAGAAAGCCTTAAGCTCCCACTGCTGACACTGATTGCCAGCCTTGTTTTGTCTTACAATATGCATTGCTAAAGCCTTCTGACTTATGAACAAGCAGCTAATGGCTTCATCCATTCTCAGGATTGTGCCCCCGGAAGCCTTGGGGAGAACGACCTCTCAGGATGATGGTTATATTAATCTACTTTGGGGCTCTCCTTGGCCGAAGGACATTAATGACTTCTGATCATCCTATGGCTGTTTGTCTTTGGGGAAGTGGGACTAAATCCAAAGGCTGATGTCACTTGGGAGCATGACAACCCAATAACTCAGTTGCAACAGTGGTAGGAGCAAAGAATCTCTGGATACAAACAAAGTTGCAAAGAGAAGAGCGCCGGCAGGCAGAAATGAGGCATGCTGAAGCAATTCAGCCCTGTTTTATGTTTTTTTGTTTTGACATTTCAAGTTCAGAGAACACAGCTTGGTTTTATAAAATAGTTCCAGTCCAGAGGGCAGACCACATGAAAATGTCCAAAGGAGTCCTTACAGATGGAGGCCAGGACGAATGGCTCTTTACCTGCTTTGCCCTCCATTTTTTGCCCCAGAACCTTCTGGAATGTAATCCCCAGAGCAGAATGGAGATAGAGCATTGACTTAATTGTCAGGCTCACGTGAGCCCCCAGGATGTCTTCCTGCATGCACTGATTTTTTTTTTTTCCAAATTGGCTGAGTTAAAACATGTAATAATTATACCCAAATTTGCACAGCCACTTTCTTCCTGAAAATCGATGTAATTTGCGTGCGTTATTTAGCTGTAGGACATCCTGGAGCCGTGTACCTCTTGCTGCTTTTGCAGAGGTGCTGAATGCCTTGGTTGAGGCGTCTGGGCCCTGGAGGGCAGCCAGGATGATTCAGGGCTTGTCTGTTCCCAAGTGAGCATGCCAGCCGAGTACCAGCAGCAGGTGCCAGTGACGCTTGGGCTGGCGTCCCAGCTTCAGCCCAGGCCAACTTTGAGACCTTGGTCTTTCTGTGTCGCACTTTTCTCATCTATGAAATGGGGATAATAATAGTCTCTGCCTCATGGAATTGTTTTGACTCATAAATGAATTACTAGACATCAAGCACTACAGAACACGGCCTTGTCAGTCGTTCGCTATTGTTTTATTATGCTCCAAGTGGTATTTGATGTTTATTTATTTTTGAGATAGTGGGAGAGAGAGAGAGAGAGAGAGAGAGAGAGCGCGTGAGCGAGAGGGGGAGGGGGAGTGGGCACAGAGAAGGAGACACGGAATCCAAAGCAGGCTCCAGGTTCTGAGCTGTCAGCACAGAGCCCAACACGGGGCTTGAACTCATGAACCGTGAGATCACGACCTGAGCTGAAGTCGGACGCTTAACCGACGGAGCCACCCAGGCGCCCTGCTTCAAGTGGTACTTGGATTCCTCAAATAAGGATCACTGGGAACAGGGCGTCTCAAACCGTAATGTGCACAAGAAACACTGTAGGTCTTGTTTAAACATAGATCCTTACTTGGTGGGTTGAAAGTGGGACCTGAGTCTACATTTGCAACAGGTTCACGTGAAAACCAAGCTGCTGTTCAAGGACCACATTTTGAGGCGCAGGGACCTTGAGAACATAGGTGAAAACTGTAGATTCCCAGGCCCCAGCTCAGACCCACAGATTCAGGATTATTCTCAAGCCTTAAATCTCCCGGAATCACCTTCCTACGTTTTAGGTGTGTCACCCCTTCTTTCCATTTCTTGCTTTTGGGCTGAGACCGTCTATCTTACACCTGTCCCAACATTGCGTTTCAGGTGCACACAACTTGTCTGGTGTCACAGGCTCACAGCTGGAGAGGACCTCCGCCTCGGGATGAGTTGTACGTACCCTGGGTCTCACTCACACCTGAAAGATCATATTGAGATGAGACTTTGGGCTTCAGGTTTTAGAGTTGATGCCAGAAGAGATGGAATGAATGTATCTTGCGTGTGAGAGGGATATTAATTTTGGGAGCCAGGGGGTGCAGAATGAACTGACTAGTGATCCCCCCACACCCCAGATTTGTATGTTGAAGCTCTGACTCCTAAGGTGATGATAGTTGGAGATGAAGCCTTTGGAGGTCATTAGGCTCAGCGGAGGTCACGAGGGTGGAGCCCTCGCGATGAGATTAATGCCCTGATGAGAAGAGACGCCTGAGCTCTTTCTCCACCACAGGACGATGCAACAAGGGAGGGGCCGTCTGCAAGCCAGGAAGAGGGTTGTCACCAGAGCCCAGCCATGCCGGCACCTGGTCTCAGACTTCCAGCCTTCAGAACTGTGACAAATCCGTGTGTGTAGTTTAACCACCCGGTCTGCAGTACTTGGCCGTGGCAGCCCAGGCTGACTGCGACACTAGAGGCGGGGCTTAGGAGCCAAGGGCTTAACAAGCCTCCAGGTGACCTGAATGTCCCCAAGTTTGGCTAGACTGAGTTAATTTTACTGTAAGGAAGATGTGGCTGTTCAAAACGTGTGTGTGGGAGAGAATGTGTCATTCTTTATTGAGGGCCTAGTGTTCTCCTTCTCCTGCTTTCTTCTCCTTCTTCTCTTTTTCCCTTCTTCCCAGGCCAGGCCGCAGAGCCCGGGGTGGTAAGAACGCTCTGGGTTTGCCTCCCAGCCCCCCTTCATTCACAGCTGGATGGCACCTCTGTTGAAGCAAGTCTCATACGGAGATTGTGTGAAATGGGCACGCAGAGACCGACTGGGGAAGCTGCTGGTCGCTGATCAAGTCCCACTGTGTTGTGGGGTCCGAGTTCTGTTGTCATATACGGTCTGGCCACTGTCGGCGCAGGCTAGGGTGTCTGGGTTTGTCCTCTTCTGCATGATGCGCCTTGACCATGGTGCGTTGCCTTGTTCTTCTTGGGATCTCCTACGCATAGAACTTCACATTTGGGGCTCACCAATGCTTGCCGAATGGTTGGATAAAAGACAAGGTCCAGCCGCCAAGTTACAGACCACTGAGCTGTTGCAGCCTAGAGGGAACTCGAAGGTTCATACCTACCTTATCTCAGTTCAAGCCAACAAATATCAGTGATCACGTGCCTAGAGTGTCACAGCCCATACCTGAGGCCACAGAAGGGCCCGAGGGAGGCATGGAGACTAAATAACTATAATCTCTTCCAAGGCTTTCCCACTGCTGCCTTGCATTTGGGAAGTGGTTAGACTAAAATGCAGCCAGTTACTCAATCGGGTAGTTGTACAATACAAACAAAATCGCCTCTGCATATTGTTGTTTCCAAAATGATGTTAACCAACATGCTCTCATTTAATCTTCAAAACGGCATTGTGAGATAGGTATTATTCCCCCATTTTACTGATGAGCCAACTGAGGCTCTGAGAAGCTAAGCTGGCACCTGGCAGTGTGGGACTTGAATCCAGAGCCCAGCCTCTTCCACACACTGGAGGTGGGCCGTGGGAAGGAGAAGAGGAGGGTCTGGGCGGGGGGAACAGAGGTGCTGCTTCCACGGGAGAGGGAGGGACGCTGGGCAGGTGGACAGCAGATGTCTGTGCACATAATGCCCATCACAGGAGGGGGGTGGTCTGTCTCCCCCCCCCCGGGGGCACCGCCCCACACTGAGCACATAAATGAGAAGCAGGTCTTCAGTTTGCAAAGTGGGAACAGGTTCAGCAGGCTTGTGAGTGAATACAGCCACGCGGTTCAGCCTTAGCGGAGGTCAAGTTGACAGAAACCAGAGCAGGGCCGAATGCCACCCTGAGGTGTCTGGGTTGCAGGGAATTTCGTCCAGTCTCGGCCCACCTCTGAGGTCCTTTAGGACCCCGGCAGCTGGGCAGTGTGTCCTGGGGGGACCAGTCAGTCTGTTCTGGCAGAGGCCCACTGGCTAAACGCCTCCCAGTCCTGTGCTGGCTGGAACCCCCGCCCCGGGGTATTTTGTGCCCTTACAGACACTGCGGTAACGTTCAAGAAGCCTAAAACAGGCTGCCCCTGGCTGACGTTGGAAGAAATTCAATCTCACTGGTAATAAAAGATAAACACATTAAAACAAGATGTAGTTTTATTGTTTTATTTCCCTGGCTGAAAGGCCAGGATTTAAAAGAAAAGATAATAATACTCCACGTGGGTTGGGGGTGGGAGGAGCGCCTGGATTCTTAGGAGGCCTTAGGGGCGGGTGTAACCTTTGACCCCAACCATTTTCCTTACGGGCAGTAAGAGGTAGTGGGAGACGTGTGCAAAGATGTACCTGCCAGGGTGTGTGTTGGAGGGTTTATATTTGGAGAAAAGTTGAGGTCCAACAGGAGATAACCACGTGGCATAGACACGTGGCAACTTCTAAGCAGTCATAAAATTGCCACACCACTTTATGTAATGCTATAGAAAGATGCTCCAGATATATTGTTGGGTAGAAAATAAGGTGATAAAGTAACATGCCTGGTGTGATCTTGGTTTTGTGAAAAACAAACCCATCTGCCTACAGACGGATTATATATATAAATGAAAATGTATACATGTGAATGTATATATGTGCATCCATATGAATGTGCATATATTATATATGGAAAATATTAATAATCCTTACCTCCATGTGATGGTACGATGGGTGAATTCTGTGCTTCCTAACTTTATTCTAAGGAGAACGTGATTATTTGAATGACACGAATGGAATTTCTTTAGAGGCCAAGAACCGGGCTGTAAGCCCGTGAGGGCGGAAGGATATACGGTGGCTGAGAGCAGGGTGCCAAGGTCACCTTGGGCCCGGGTGCGAATGCTGCGCGGGTGTGTATTATCGGTGGGGCTCTGGGCCTGAGAGGCAAGCTCTCCAAACCTTGGAGTTCTCATCTGAAGAAGGGTGTCTGATGATGAAGAATGGTGTTAGGAGCATTAAGTGGGGGTGATCTGTTAAGTGTCTGGCAAATATTAAGCACTCAATAAATCTTAATTATATGTAAATATACTATCAAGCTAGGATAACATCATATTATCTATCTCCTATCAAAATTGGCCACACACACAATTTGTCATGTATCTAAAGGAATAGACCTGTTTTCTAAAGCTCCTGAGAGTGGAACCCGTAGGCAATGTCACAGGGAGACCAATTACAGCCCCAAATGAAGAATTTTCCAGCTCTCCAAAGGTGCAAGCGGGAGCCCCATCCCTGGAGATACCCCCGCAGGTTCTGGGTGAACAGATAGCAGAGTTGTGGGAGAGGACACTCGGGCCAGATAATTAGGCTGACAAGGCCACTGGAACCCCTTCCGGTCCCCAGGTTGAAGCCACTGGCAGAGAGGATGAGAAGGTGGCCTGGAGTCAGGCGGCCTGGGGCTGCGGCTCAGCTCTCTGCCCCTTGCCAACTGAGGGAGATGCTGGGGAGGCGTCTCCTCTCTGAGCCTCAGTGTCTGCTTTGGTAAAACGATCTCTGCTATGTGCTTGCTGTCAGAATTAGAAATAATAAAACCTAGCTCCCGTTCTTATGATTATTTTTGTTCTGAAACGGTGGAGCTAGGACCTGGGAAAATATTCATTCATTCATTCATTCATTCCTGCATTCATTCTTCCCACAAATACTTCTCCAGCGTTTTTTCCTGTCTGCCTCTTCCCGTAAGGAGTAGGGCCCCTTTAAGGCTTCAGTGTTCCACGGACCTACTGCTGAAGGCCCTAAATCCTAATCCCAACCATCAGGCTTTGTCTCCATGTTCCATACAGGCACCAAAGGGCAGCACTCAAGTCATGATGAAGCTGGGCTCCTCGCCAGAAAAGCCCAACGGGCGGCTTGGCTGAGATGTGCAGGCTTCCTCGAACACAGGATGGGAACTAAGGAAAAACCCTCAGGCTAACTTGAAGATGGGAGGGAGTTGTCCGGGCAGTGCTAGAATGATGTGCCAGGACAAATGGCCCCGAGCGGGCATCTCAGACTTCCGGTCCCCTCTTCCTCCCCAGCAGTGGTGGGAATGAGAGCCGGGAGCCCACAACGCCTTGCTCCGAGGGACCACCCCTTTGGGACTTCCAGGCTCCTTGTCAGTCTGCTCCGGGCTCTGTTCCATGCACACCCCTTTCTCAAGGATGTCCCCAACTGCCCTGGGGCCTCCCTCCCCCATGAGAAAACACAGTCACACCTTGACTGCGTGCTCACCCCCATACAACAGCTTGCAGGTGTGAGTGTGTCCTCCACTGGCCCCCAGATCCTCTGCGAGGCGGGTCACACAGAAGGTGTGTGGGCAGGGCAGGGCGTGGGGAGAAAATCTTAGAATGCGAGATTTTAGTTTTTTGCATGTGTCGTAATTTGTATAATAGAATTTAAAAGTGGCATCCTTATGCAATTTATAAATAATTAAACATATCTTAATCACAGAGGCTCTTGGATGTAATGAAAAGGGTTGATTGGAAAGGAAGTAACTTTCTTTTAAATATTTTTAAATATAAATTTTATTTTAGAGAGACACAGAGAGAGAGAGGGGAGTGGGGGAGAGAATCATAAGCAGTCTCCATGCTCAGTGAGGAGTCTGACACAGGGCTCGATCCTGTGACCCTGGGATCATGACCTGAGCTGAAATGAAGAGTTTTGAGCAACCCAGATCCCCCTGAAATACCTTTGTAAAAAAATGTTTATTTAAATCCAAGTTAGGTAACATGTAGTGTAATATTGGTTTTAGGAATAGAACCCAGTGATTCATCACTTACGCACAACAACAATGCTCGTCCCAGCAAGCACCCTCCTCGATGCCCATCCCCCCTCTAGCCCGTCCCCCCACCCAACACCCTCCGGCAACCCTCAGTTTGTTCTCTGTATTTAAGAGTCTCTTATGGTTTCACTCCCTCTCTCTGTTTTTATCTTATTTTTCCTTTCCTCGCCCTATGTTCATCTGTTGTGTTTCTTAAATTCCACATATGAGTAAAATCGTATGATATTTATCTTTCTCTGACTGACTTATCCATTTAGCATAATATAATCTAGTTCCATCCATGTCATTGCAAATGGCAAGATTTCATTCTTTTTCATCGCTGAGTAGTATTCCATTTATTCCATTCCTTTTTTTTTTTATTAAAAATTTTCAACATTTTTTAAATTTATTTTTGAGACAGAGAGAGACAGACCATGAACAGGGGAGGGGCAGAGAGAGAGAGAGGGATACAGAATCGGAAGCAGGCTCCAGGCTCTGAGCCATCAGCCCAGAGCCCGACGCGGGGCTCAAACTCACGGACCGCGAGATCGTGACCTGAGCTGAAGTCGGATGTTTAACTGACTGAGCCACCCAGGCGCCCCCCATTCCCTTTTTTAAAAATATAATTTATTGTCAAATTGGCTAACATACAGCACTCAGTGCTCTTCCCAACAAGTGCCCTCCTCAATGCCCATCACCCATTTTCTCCTCTCCTCCGAGCCCCGCTCCAATCAACCCTCAGTTTGTTCTCTGTATTTAAGAGTCTCTGGTGGGTTGCCTCCCTCCCTCTCTGTTTGTAACTATCCCCCCCCCTTTTCCCTCCCCCATGGTCTTCTGTTAAGTTTCTCAAGATCCACATATGAGTGAGAACATATGATATCTGTCCTTCTCTGACTGACTTATTTCACTCAGCATAATACCTTCCAGTTCCATCCACGTTGCTGCAAATGGCAGGATTCCATGCTTTCTCATTGCCAGGTAGTATTCCACTGTATATATGAACCACATCTTCCTTATCCATTCATCAGTTGATGGACATTTAGGCTCTTTCCATAATTTGGCGATTGTTGAAAGTGCTGCTATAAACATTGGGGTTCATGTGCCCCTGTGCATCAGCACTCCTGTATCCCTTGAGTAAATTCCTAGTAGTGCTATTGCTGGGCTGTAGGGTAGTTCTATTTTTAATTTTTTGAGGAACCTCCACACTGTTTTCCAGAGTGGCTGCACCAGTTTGCATTCCCACCAGCAGTGCAAGAGGGTTCCCGTTTCTCCACATCCTCTCCAGCATCTATAGTCTCCTCATTTGTTCACTTTAGCCACTCTGGCTGGCATGAGGTGGTATCTCAGTGTGGCTTTGTATTTCCCTGAGGATGAGTGATGTTGAGCATCTTTCCATATGTCTGTTGGCCATGGATGTCTTCTTTGGA